ACCCAAATACATAATATCAGAAATGAAAGGGGAGAAATAACAGCTGATACCACAGAAATACAAAGGATTGTAAGAAGTTACTATGAACAACGATATGCCAAGAAATTTGACATGGGTGAAATGGACATATTTCTAGAACAATATAATCTTCCAAAACTGAATGAAGAAGCAGAAAGCCTGAACAGACCAATAATAGCTAGTAAAATTGAAGCAGTAATCAAAAAATTCTCAGCACACAAAAGCTCTGGACTGGATGGTTTCATAGGAGAATTTTACAAAACATTTAAGGAAGAGCTAACACCTGTCATTCTCAGACTATTCCAAAAAATCCAAAAAGAGGGGAGACTCCCAAACTCCTTTTATGAGGCCAACATCATCCTAATACCAAAACCAGATAAAGACACAACAAGGAAAGAAAATTATAGGCCAATATCGCTGAAGAACATCGACGCTAAAAACCTCAACAAAATATTGGCAAACCGCATCCAGCAATACATTCAAAAGATCATACAACATAATCAAGTTAGATTCATCCCAGGGATGCAAGGATGGTACAATATTTGCAAATCAATAAATGTAATGCATCATATAAACAAAAAGAAAGACAAAAATCACAGTATCCTATCAATTGATTGGGAAAAAGCATTTGATAAGGTACAGCAACCATTTATGATAAATCACTCAGCAAAATGGGAATAAAAGGGCCACACCTCAACATAATATAGGCCATATATGAAAAACCTACAGCCAACATAATAATTAATGAGCAAAAAACTAAAATTTTTCCCATTAAGATCAGGAACAAGACAAGGATGTCTACACGTTCACCACTTCTATTCAACATAGTAATTGGAAGTCCTAGCCACAGTGATCAGGGAAGAAAAAGAAATAAAAGGCATTTGAATTGGAAAGGAGGAAGTAAAACTTGCCATTGTTTGCAGATGACATGAATGTGTACACAGAAAACCCCACAGACTCCACCAAACAACTATTCAACTTAATAATTGAATTTGGTAAAAACAGTGAGATACAATGTCAATATTCAGAAATCAATGACATTTTTGTACAACAATAATGAAATATCAGAATCAGAAATCAGGGGGGAAATCCCATTTGCCATAGCAACAAGACAAATAAAGTACCTAGGAATAAACTGAACCAAGGAGATAAAAGACCTGTACTCAGAAAACTACACAACACTGAAGAAAGAAATTAAGGAAGACACAAATATACCATGTTCATGGACTGGAAGATTTGACATCATCAAAATGTCCACACTACCCGAAGCAATTTACAGATTTCATGCAATCCCTATTAAAATACCAATGATATATTTCACAGATAAGAACATTTCAAAAATTTGTATAGAACCATAAACGACCTCGAATAGCTGCAGTGATTTTAAGAAAAACAAAATAGGAGGGATCACAATACCTGACATCAAACTATATGACAAGGCCACTGTAATCAAAACAGCCTGGTACTGTCATAAGAACAGACACATAGATCAATGGAACAGAATAGAGAGCCCAGAAATAAATCCATGTCTATGGCCAATTAATATTCAACAAAGGGGGAAGAAGCATAAAATGGAGTAAAAATAGCCTCTTCAACAAATGGTGTTGGGAGAGCTGGACAGGTTCATGCAAAAAAATGAAACTCAACCACTAACTTATGCTGGGAAATGCCCTGTCTGGTTTCAGGAACTGTAACCCTGCTGACAGGCTGGAGGGCCCCGAGGCTAAAAATCATCAGGAGGCCTTGGAGAAATAGGATCCTGAGGAGACATAGCCTGTTCCCCCTGGCAGGGGCATAGCTCCTGCCTCTCCACTTTGCCATGGAGCAGTGGGCATTAATGACAGGTAAGACCCCTCGGGGGAGGGGTGACCTAAGACAGATCTTAGTTGGTATTGGCAGCAGACAAGAAATTGGGGGACATGGAGAAAGGGCAAAAAGGCCCACACCTCTCGGCTTGGCTTGGACATGGCCGGAGTCCTCATTATAGCCAAAAAGCAGTCTCCTTATCTCTTGGTGGTTCCCTCTCCACACCTGGATCAGGCTTGAAACAGTGCAGGAATCAGCCCTAAATCAGATCTGGCAGTTCCTGGGGAAATCAGGCCTAAAATTATATTCTTTGAAGTGTGTTTTATTCTTCCTTCAGACCTCTGTCCAGCTCATGCTGTGAAGGACATTTACATTATTTCCATCCCTTACCTATATCATTAGGCACTTCTATGTCTACTTTGCCCTTATCTTGAGTCTCTCTTGTTTATACTGGTCTCCTCTCAGACCCATGTAAATTAGTGTGTTCCTGTCATTTGCCTTCTTAAAGGCATCATCTATTCTCTGTGAAACTTAATATACTAATGTAATGAGATAACATATGCTTTCCTGTTACCTAGCCCCACTGATAAGCTTTTCAATAAAAGCCTTGGAACAAAGGGCGACGGGACCTTCTCCACGAGATGGATGTGCCACGGCCTTTCCACTAAGAGGGAAGTGCCCACATCTGCTCTCCCAGCAAACAAAAGTGTTTGTGATGATTCATGTTTATTCCCTCATCCATGACAACCCCAGATCAGGCTCTGTGGGATTCAGAGCCCTGCTCCCATCTCAGCTGGTCCCTGGTGGTTTCCCTCAGATTAAGGGAGCACTATGCTCCCTGCAGCACACTCTTCACACCCTCCCAGCCTCGGTGCAGCGCTTGCTGCCTGGGCAGATGAGCAGCAAACCCAGCGGTGGTGTGCCCCATCTAGCCGCTGCGCAGGGCAACAAACTTACACCATACACAAAACTAAACTCAAGATTGATAAAAGACTTAAATGTAAGTCACAGCACCATAAAAGTCCTAGAGGAGAACATAGGCAAGAAACTCTCAGACATTCCATGCAGCAATATTTTCACAGATATGTCCCCTAGACCAAGGGACATAAAGGAAAGAATAGACAAACGGGACTTCATCAAAATAAGAAGCTTCTGCATGGCTAAAGAAATCAGCCCTGGCTGATGTTGCTACATGGGCTGAGTGCTGGTCTGTGAACCAAAAGGTTGCCAGTTCAATTCCTAGTCAGGGCTCATGCCTGGGTTGCAGGTCAGGTCCTCAGTAGGGGGTGCTCAAGAGGCAACCACATATTGATGTTTCTCTCCCTCTTTCTCCCTCCCTTCTCCTCTTTTTAAAAATAAATAAAATCTTAAAAAAAGAAAACATCAGCAAAATGAAGAGGGAACTAACCATATGGGAAAATATATTTGTCAATGATACCTCAGACAAGGGTTTGATTTCCAAAATATATAAAGGGCTCACACAACTCAATGCCAGGAAGACAGACAGTCCAATTCAAAAATGGGCAAAGGACACTTCTCTGAGGAGGACATACACAGGGCCCAGAGACATGTGAAAGGATGCTCATCATCACTAGCCCTCAGAGAGATGCAAATTAAAACCACAGTGAGTTACTACTTCACATCAGTCAGAATGGCCATCATAAACAAATCAACAAACAACAAGTGTTGTGAGGTTGTGGAGAAAAGGGAACCCTACTACACTGTTGGTGGGAATGCAGACTGATGCAGCCATTGTGGAAAACAGTGTGGAATTTCCTCAAAAAGCTAATAATGAGACTGCCTTTTAACCCAGCAATTCCACTGCTGGAGTTATACCCTAAGTATCACAAAACACCAATTCAAAAGAACCTATGCACCCCAATGTTCATAGCAGCACGATTTACAATAGCCAGTTATTGGAAGCAACCTAAAGTGCCCAACAGTAAATGAGTAGATCAAAAATTATGGCACATTTACACAATGGAATACTATGCAGCAGAAAGAAACAAAGAGCTACTACCCTTTGTGACAGCATGGATAAACTGGAGAGCATTTTGCTAAGCGAACAAAGTCAGGGGGTGAAAGACAAATACCATATGATTTCACCTATAAGTCACATCTAATCAACAAAACAAACAACCAAGCAAAGTATAACCAACAACACTGAAAGAAAAAAGAAACTGACAGTAACCAGTGGGAAGGAGGGAGGGGGTTAATGGGAGAAAAGAACAGGATGGATCCTCAAGGAAGATGTATTAAGGACCCATGGACAAAACCAAAGTAGGGAAGGATTGAGGGTGGGAGGTGGGGTTGGTTGGGTGAGGGGAAAATCATGGTGGGAAATGGAGACCACTGTACTTGAACAACAATAAAAAATAAATTAAATAAATAAAAATAAAAATATGTAAGATAAAAAAATTTTAAATGGATATGGGTAATTAAAAAACAATAATAAATAAGACTGTGCAGTCTAAAGAACTACATGGTAACTATCTAAAGGCTTACAAAAGAAGGTTCTAGAGAGATGAAGCAAAGTAAATGGCTACTCTAATGTAGGTATAAATTAGAGAACAAAAGAGATGGTTTTATACCTCAAAAAAAAAATAAAGGAACGAAGAAAGGAAGGAGGGAGGGAGGGAGGGGGAGGAAAAGAAAAGAAAAACAATGGAACAACAAAGCTGAGCTAATTGACAAAGAAAAGAGATGAAGTCATCTTCAAGGGGAGAGCTTTGTTGTCTAGACGTAGAAAATGTTTTCAACATGTCTTCATATTTCCTTGTAGAGGCCATTCCAACTCCTTCCAAGTTCTGTAAGCTTTCTAATTATAATAGCTGCCAGTTATGTAGCACTTAACCATGGAACAGGGCACATGATGAGCACTTTATATATATGAAGTCATTTTAATTTGCACACAATATTTAGAGCAAACATTAATATCCTCATTTTCCAGAGCAGGAAATGGAAGTAAGAGGTAAAGTAAGCTGCCCAACATCATACAGAGCCCAAGCACCTAATTATTATGTGAGTGTGTCCATGATTGTGTTTAGGCCAGAAAGACTGGAGGCTGAATCTTCCCTGAAGTCAGCATCAAGACCAAGCCCTAGGTCTTGATCATCCCTCCATACCCTGATGGTCAAGAGCATCAACATCTGAGAAGCAGAGATGCTGGTACTTACAATGGAGATGTGGAGCTCAGAGTTCCATACAGATCTTTCTTCACACTGAGTATGATTGCCACCATAATTGCTGGAATCCCTAGTGTGGGGAAGCAAACCAAAGTCATCCCATTAGTAAACAGGAGAAATATCCTGCTCAATGAATGACTCTGTGCACTAAGTAAAGACAACATATGATCTCACCTATAAGTCCGACCTAACCAACAAAACACACAAGCAAGGAAAATACAACCAGAAACATTGAAAGAAAAAAGAAACCAACAGAATCAAGACGGGAGGGAGGAGGGTAGGGAAAGGGAAGGGAAAGGTCAAGTCAAGGAACATGTATGAAGGACCCATGGACAAAGTAAAAGTGGGAAAGGATTGAGGGAGGGAGGGAGGGGAGGAGGAGGACAGGGGAAAGTGGTGGCGGGAAGGTGGAGACAAATGTATTTGAACAATAAAAAAAAATAAAATAAAAAGACACTGTTTAAATGAACCACAGATGTGCGGGCATCAAAATACCATTGTTTGCAAATGTTTGTAAATTCTTCCAAGTTAAACATTTCTAGTTCTCCAATCTGCTAAATTAAACAGCATGTCAATGGCTCCAATACAACACCCACTGGTTATTAAAAATAGCTCAAGTACCAAAAATCAACTTGGCAATAGAAGAATCTAGTTCATTGGAATGCAAGTTCGCATCAAGCTTTTCTTCTCAGATGAAGAGCTGCCAATTTTTTCTCTTGTTCAATACTGCCCCTAATTTCCTGGTATCTTTTTGTCTCCATCACCTTGCATGAATGACACAGGCATTTAGCTGCTGGCTTCAGTGTTTTTCTGACAGAGGAGCTGTTTCTATACTCGTTACTAGTTTGACATTTTGACTAGATCAACCAGTTAATGACTAGTCAATTAAGCCAGACTATAATAGAGCAATCAGTTCAGTCAAAGTGGTCAAATGTGACATGAGTATAGATAAAGGATTTAAAATTCCATTTCATGTACATTTGCAAAACTTAATTTTATTTATTTCTAACTATGTATTTCTCCTAAACAAAGAAAATTATTACACCTGCACACATTTTAAGGGTTTTGTAAAAACCTGTTTCAGAGCGCTAAGCATCTTGAGAAATCCCCAACTGTCCTATTCAATCTAATTACATTTTATTGATTTTGTTATTATAGTTGTTGCAATTTTTTCCCCTTTGCCCTTCCTCCACCCAGCATCCCCCACTTCCTCAGGAAATAACCCCTCCATTGTTCATGTCCATGGGTCATCCTTATAAGTTCTGGGGCTACTTCACTTCCTATACTGTACTTTACATCTCCATGGCTATTCTGTAACTACCTATTTCTACTTCTTAATCCCTTCACTTCTTCACCCATTGTCTCACACCACCCTCCCATCTGGAAACCATCAAAATGCTGTCCTTATCCATGATCTGTCTCTGTTCTTCCTGTTTTCCTAGTTTCTTTTTTAGGTTCAATTGTTGATAGATTTGTATTTTTTTGCCATTTTATTGTTCATGATTTTGATCTTCTTTTAAATAAGTCCCTTTAACATGTCATATAATAATGGTTTGGTGATGATGAATTCCTTTAGTTTCTTCTTGTCTGGGAAGCTCTTTATCTGCTCTTCACTTATAAGTGGTACCTATGCTGGGTAGAGCAATCTTGGCTGCAGGTCTCTGCTTTTCATGACTTTGAATATTTCTTGTCAATCGTTTTTTCTCTGCGAAGTTTCCTTAGAGAAATCAGCCGACAGTCTTATGGGAACTCCCCCAAAGGAAACTAACGGCTTTTCTCTTGCTGCTTTTAAGGTTCTCTCTTTATCCTTAACCTTTGGTATTTTAATTATGACGTGTCTTGGAGTGGGGATCTCTGCATCCATCTTGTTTGGAACTCTCTGTGCTTCCCCGGACTTGCATGTGCATTTCCTTCACCAAATTAGGGAAGTTTTCTTCTCTTATTTCTTTCCAATAGAGTTCCAGTTTCTTGCTATTTCTCTTCTGCTGGCATCCCTATGAGATGAATGTTGGACCTCTTGAAGTTGTCCCAGGGGCTGCTTATATTATCCTCATTTTTTTTCTTTTTATTGTTCTGATTGGTTGCTTTTTCCTTCCTTATGTTCCATGTCATTGATTTGATTATTGGCTTTATTCACTCTACTGCCTTTCCATGTAAATTGTTATTTCAATTAGTGTAACCTTCATTTCTGACAGGATACTTTTTTTGTGCTGTTGAGGTCCTCACTAAGTTCCTTGATCATCCTTATAACCAGGGTTTTGAGCTCTGCATCTGATAGGCTGCTTATCTCTGTTTTGTTTAGCTCTCTTTCTGGAGTTTTGAGCTGTTCTTTCATTTGGGTCATGTTTCTTTGCCTCTTCATTTTGGCGGCCTTCCTGTGTCTGTATCTACATATTAGGTAGAGCTGCTTTGATTCCATGTCTTGATAGTGTGGCCTAATATAGTAGGTGTCCTGTAGGGTCCAGTGGCACATCCTCCCCTATCACCCAAGCTGGGTACCTGGAGTGTGCCTTCTGTGTGGGTTGAGTACACCCTCCTTTTGTATTTGAGCTTTGATTGCAGCTGACAGGTTAATGGGATTAATTTATCCAGGCGACTCAGCAGCAAGGACTGGCTGTGACCACTGACCACGAACCTCTAGCATCCGGAAGGATAACCTGTGCAGGTGCAGGGTGGCAGTCCTCTGGAGTGGACTGTAGCTGCCCAGTGTGTCCACTGGCCCTGGGGTTCCCAGGTGGAACTGGCCAAGGTAAGCCCCTACCTTTGTTTTGTCCAGGGTCACCCTACCTGAGCTATAAAGCAATCTCAGATGGCTGCTACTTGTGCTGGGTTGGAGAGTCCCAGGCGAAGCTAAGCTTTGAATCTAGGTTGGCTGCTGCTAGTCCCAGGGCTGGGCCCACTCTCCTATTCTGTGATAAACAGGATGATCCCTTCAGATCTGTATTGTGCTCCACTAGCAGAGTGCCTACAATGATGTAGACATTTAAAAAAAATACCAGTTGGCAAACCAGAGGAGAGGGATGGTGGGAGGACTCACATCTAAGTTGGAAGTTTTGAGGCACTCCCAAAGATATGTTTACATGTTGATTATTCAAACAAAAAAATCCCTATTGGTTGTTATTTTTAAAATGTGGACAGATCTACTGCTTTGGACAGGACTTAAATAAAGAAATAAAACCTTTTCAACAGGTTTCTTTGGCATTAGAAAGACAGAACTTCAAACATAAACAGAGGCTAATATTCCCTTTCCTTAAAGGTGATTACACTTATCTAATATTTAAATGTTCCAAAACTCCCTGTAGTGAGACAGCTCTGCACTGGCTCCCTGATAACCATATAGGTGTCCACATAGGCAAGGGCTTGAACCAGAGATAATCTGAATTTTGGTGAAATGTCTTCTGATCCTCCATAAATTCAAGAAGGCAGTAGGCCTGTGAGAAGGTGCTCCAAAGCCATCTCCTACTCTCCTCTCTGTCTCCTCTTGGAGTCTATCATTGCCTCCAAGTTCTGAGGAGGTGTAGAGCTTTGCACCCTGCCTCCTCAAAACAGAGCTGCGGAATATTATAAGGCATAGCTTCAGTTTAGTTCTGGCTCTTCAACAACAAGGAATTCCACAACTCATGTGACAGCCATCTGTTTCCTTCTGTCTTGGTGTCATTCTTCAGAGTGCGTGAGACATAATCTTGGGAACTAACACCTTTAGCTATTCCTTTCACCATCAATGTAGATAATAAACCGAATATAACAGTGTCCTTGGCTTGTGTGTGTACTTGACACTCCCCAAGATTTTCCTGCTTCAAAAGTACCAAGTCTTAGCCTTTCCTGCCTCTTGAGTACCCTAGGAAGTGGGTGTAGAAGTAGAAGATCAAAGTGATAAGAATTCATCCCTGGGAACCTCAACACTTAAGGAGCAAGAATCTCAAGAAGGAAGGGTCTGAAGAGAAAGTTGAAAGGTAATGATGATGAAGGAGAAGGCCAGTACTGAGTGCTATTTACAGTCCCTTCCCAGTTATCCATATGTGTGTTTTCAGTTCTTTGGATTATTCGTGAAGCCTCTTTCACCACTTTTTCAATCTTCCAGTTGACAGTTGACTGTAGATAAAGGATGTGAAGTGTAAATGGGAGAGTATTGACTGCTTTTGGCTCTGTTTCTGATGGATTCCTAAGTGTACTAAAACAATTTTTTTTAGATTATTATTTGTGTAGTGCTTGCCTGTCTCTGCTCCTCACATTAGCAGAGATGAGAACACTGACTATATCCAAATGAAAGTTTGCACTATTTTAATAAACTCATTAAAAGGATGAGTAGCTAACTGAAAAGCTATTTTCTTTAGAAAGGCAGTGGAAGATAAAATCTGTCTCCCTTTGTATCCTACGTATCCCAGTTCATATACATCTCCTATGTGTCCAGTACATTCTCTGATCTTAAAATCTGTTTTGAATAGGGAAGGGGGAAGGGGAGAAATGAACTGAGCTGACCTTGTCAGTTAGAAATACAGGAAAGCAAACCAATAAAATGGCTTTTAATTTAGGAAATTCAAGCTGAGTTCCATTCCTGGCTTCTTCCAGAGGGCAGCAATGATAGTGACAGTCATGAGGTATGGTAAGAATGAGATCATATCTGATAGAGCGTCTTTCACACATCACAAGTTCATTTTCTATTCCTAAAACTATATGATTCTATCACAGAGGTCAAAAGTACAAACTATGGAGACAGAGTCCCTTGTTCAAATCCCAGTTCTTCCAGCTAATAAGTGGTTGTGTGAGTTTTGGCAAATTACCTAATCATGTAAGTGCTTCCTAAGTGCTGGCTATTATATTAGTATGCTTTTGTCGGTATTGTAACTTCCATAAAGGAAAGGATAAAATAGTATAGATCAGCATTTAGAATATACACAAGCAGGTGCTCACTAAATATTTGTGGACTGATTCCTCAGCATGAAGGTTAGAAGTTGAATTTCTAGATCAATACAGGCAGAAAAAGGGATGTATACCTAAACATCAGTGAGGCAATCTTAATTTTTTGCTATGATTATAACACAATTTGATCTCAAATAATTTGTCTAATGGAGCCAGAATTAGAATGAAAGACACACAGGCTTAAAACAGAGACACTAAGGACAATGGCCGTATACTTACCCCAACCAACTAGGCAAAATTTAAGGATATAATTGGGAATGTATATGTTGAAGACTTTAACTAGAGCAAAATACAGGTGGACTGCCTCCAGGCCCATCCATGTCAAAGAAACAAGCAGGAAGTAATGAAGTGCCACTGCTGCTGCAATACAAAGTCCCTCTGTCTGAAATGATGATGTCCAAGAATTGACTAGATATACCAGGTTTAGCATCAGTAGTGCGGTACACAAATTGATCAGGATTTTGGAAGGATGATCTTTTCGAAGTTTGCTGAAAGAAGGGATACATTTAGTTAAGTAGGGTCTCTGTTTTTAATCAAGGCTTGCTACATCCTATCTGCATAATAAGTGATAGAATGGAAAACTGCCTATTAAAATTAAATTACTCATATCACCTTACATGTACTGAATTTTAGAGTCCCCCACCCTCTTTCCAGGTTGAGTCAAAGTATCCTAAGTATAGTGACCTTTACTAACAGGATTACTAATAGCCTCTATCAGCTAAGCATTCTCTTTTCTTCTTTTTCTTTTTGGGAAAGAAAAAAGGAAAGAGTATACTAGATATACAGTTCTATCATCACTCCTTCATCAGACTCAAGACTGTATCTACATATGACCAAATAGCAATGTGACTATGTAAACCATTCCAAGTAGTTACTTGGATATTTCCAAAGATCCAGACATTTGGCACCATGTAAATATGACCTTAAGTTTCATTATGCAATTACAATTGTATTTTGTGAAAAAAATATATATTTCCCTTTTATTCTCTTTTATTTCTTTTAAATAATTATTGATTTAAATTTTACAATTTTCATCTAGAGTATTTGTGGGGGGTTTTTAATTGAGGCAAAGAGTGAAATATATAAATCTTAAGAATGCAACTCAGTGAATCTTTATATATGAACATACCTAAGGAACATCCACCCAGATCAGGAAGTAAAATATCTTAAACATCTCAGAAGTCTCCTACATTCCTTCTCATATTAAATACATTCCACTAGAGGTACCCAATTTTGTAACTTCTATACCCATATATTTAGTTTTGCCTGTACTTGGAACTTCATATAAATGAAACCATCTTATCTTACTTGTTTCCTTTGCTCAACTATGAGAATTAGATATTATATTGTATTGTGCGAAAGTAGTTCATTCTTTTTTTCAATCCTCACTCAAAGATATGTTCTTATTGATTTTAGAGGAAGAAGAATGGAGAGAGAGATAGAAATAGAAAGAAATATCAACGTGAGAGAGAAACATCGATTGGTTGCCTCCTGTACGTACCCTGACCGGGGATCAAACCTGCAACTTAGGTATGTAACCAGAAATAGAACCAGCAAACTTTTGGTGTACAGGACAATGCTTCAACCAACTGAGCCACCTGGCCTTGGATTTTTTTTTTTTACTGCTGTGAAGCATTTCATTTTATAAATATACCAGAATTTATTCATCTGTCATCTGTTAATGTATATTGGGTTTTCTAATTTTTGGCCACTATGAATGAAGCTATTGTGAATATTCTTGTATATATATTTTGGTGGACATATGCAATCATGTCTCTCTGATAATGAGATTTCTGGGTCAATGGCTAGATGTATATTTATCTTTAGTAGGTATTACCAGAGAATTTTCCAAATTGTCTTTGCCATTCTTGTATCTCCACCAGCAATATATGAGTTCTAACTGTCCCACATCCTTGTTGAAACTTGCCATTTCCAACTTGTTAAATTTTATCCATTCTAGTGGATCTATACAAGTATAATTGTGGTTTTAATCAGCATTTCCCTGATAAGTAATAATGTTGAGAACCCTGCCATATGCTCATTAGCCATTTGGGTAAGGATCAGAGTTTGGACTGGATATCTTCTTTTGTGAGGTACCTGCTCAAGTCTTTTGTCCATTTTTAAATTGTATTGTATGTCTTTTTGATAGTGTACATAGAAAACCCTGTAGACTGTACCAAAAAACTCCTCAACCTAATAAGTGAATTTAGCAAAATAGCAGGATACAGAGTCAATATTCGGAAATCAATGGCATTTTTGTACACCAGCAATAAAATAGAAGAAGAAGAAATCAGAAAAAAATACCATTCGATATAGCAGGAAGAAAAATAAAGTACCTAGGAATAAATTTAACCAAAGAGGTAAAAGACATGTACGCAGAAAACTATACAACATTGAAGAAAGAAATTAAGGAAGACACAAATAAATGGAAGCATATACCGTGCTCATGGTGTGGAAGAATTAATATCATCAAAATGTCCATACTACCCAAAGCAATTTATAGATTCAACGTAATCCCTATTAAGATACCAATGACGTATTTCACAGAAATAGAACAGACATTTCAAAAATTTATATGGAACCATAAACGACCCCGAATAGCTGCAGCAATTTTGAGAAAGAAAAACAAAGTAGGAGGGATCACAGTACCGGACATCAAACTATACTACAAAGCTACTATACTAAAACAATCTGGTACTGGCACAGGAACAGATCCATAGACCAGTGGAACAGAATAGAAAGCCCACAAATAAGCCCAGGTCTCTATGGGCATCTAATATTTGACAAAGGGGGCAGAAGCATAAAATGGAGCAATAATAGCCTCTTCAACAAATGGTGTTGGGAGAGTTGGACGGCTCCATGCAAAAAATTGAAATTGGGTCATCAGCTGACACCATTCACAAAAATAAACTCAAGATGGAGAAAAGACTTAAATAGAAGTCGCAACACCATCAAAGTCCTAGAGGAGAACATGGGCAGGAAACTCTCAGATATCCCACACAGCAATGTTTTCACTGATATGTCTCCTAAAGCAAGGGACGTAAAGGAAAGAATTAACAAGTGGGACCTCATCAAAATAAGAAGCTTCTGCACGGCTAAAGAAAACATCAGCAAAATGAAAAGAGAGCCAACCCTATGGGAAAATATATTCGGTAATGATACATCAGATAGAGGTTTGATCTCCAAGATATATAAAGAACTTACTCGACTCCACTCCAAGAAGACACACGATCCAATCAAAAAATGAGCAAAGGACCTGGGCAGGTGCTTTTACAAGGAGGAGATACAGAGGGCCCAGAGGCATTTGAAAGGATGCTCAGCATCACTATCCATCAGAGAAATGCAGATCAAAACCACCATGAAGTACCACCTCGCACCAGTCAGAATGGCCATCATAAACAGATCAACAAACAACAGGTGCTGGCGAGGCTGTGGAGAAAAGGGAGCCCTAGTCCACTGTTGGTGGGAATGAAGACTGGTGCAGCCACTGTGGAAAGCAGTGTGGAATTTCCTCAGAAAGCTGAATACGGAACTGCCTTTGGATCCAGTGATTCCCCTACTGGGACTATACCCTAAGAATCCCAAAACGCCAATACAAAAGAACCAATGCACCCCAATGTTCATAGCAGCACAATTTACAATAGCCAAGTGTTGTAAGCAACCTAAATGCCCATCAGTAGATGATTGGACCAAAAAACTATAGTACATTTACACAATGGAATACTACGCAGCAGAAAGAAAAAAAAAGAACTAGTAAATTTCGTGACAGCATGGATGGAACTAGAGAGCATTATGCTAAGCGAAGTAAGCCAAGGAGCGAAAGACAAACACCATATGACCTCACCTATATGTGGAACCTAACCAACAATACAAAGATGCAAGGAAAATAAGACCAGCAACACTGAAAGGAAAAGAAACCAACAGAGACAAGAGGGAAGGAGGGAGAGGGGTGGAGGCAAAGGAAGAGAAGGGGAACGTCAAGGAACATATAGCAAGGACTCATGGACAAAACCAAAGGGGAAGAGTTGAGGGGAGGAGGGGGCAAGGGAAAGTGGTGGGGGGGGGAGGCAGAGACAAATGTATATGAAAAAATTAATTAATTTTTAAAAAATCACAAAAATATAAACTGTATTGTATGTCTTTTGATTTTTGATTTGTAGGAGTTTGTATATATTCTGCGTACAAGTCTTTTTTTAATTTATTTTTTCAAATACATTTGTCTCTGCCTACTCCCCACCACTTTCCCTTGTCCCCTCCCTACCTCCCTCCCTCAGCTCTTCCCCTTTGGTTTTGTCCATGAGTCCTTGCTATATGTTCCTTGACTTTCCCCTTCTCTTCCTTTTCTCCGCCCCCCTCCCTCCTTCCTTCTTGTCAAATACATGCCTGAAAATATCTTCTCCCAATGTACAGCTTGCATTTTCACTATCTCATGATGTCCTTTGATGAAGGAAGTTTTTAATGAAGGTAAAGAGGCACAGATGGAAGACTTATGGACACGGACAATGAAGAGGGTTGACTGTGGGAGTTGGGGGTGATGTGGTGGGGGTAAGCAATGGGAGAAATGGCAGGACAACTGTAACTGATCAACAATAGATTTTAGAAAAGAAGTTTTTCATTTTAATGAACCAATTTATCAACTTTTTCTTTTATGATTAGAGTTTTTGTATCCTGTTAGAGAAATATTTTCTTATCTCAACCTTCTTGCTTAAAAAATCCAATTATAATGTTTTGTTTTAGAGGAACCTTGGTTATTTCCTTTTTTAACCTGTTCACTTCATAATTTAATGGATCTGACCTCTTCTTACTGTGATGAATCAGAACCTTTTATGAAATTTACAAGGTTAAAATAACAACAGTGTCCATCAAACCCAATTAAATTTACTCAGAGCAAGATTCTATCAACTTACTGAAAAGCTATGTATGTCATCATCACAATTCCTAGGAAAATTGAGGAGATTCCACATCCAGTGTATGTTATAAGCATTAATATCTGTTCATTCACTGTATCCACTGCAGACCTGGATAAATCCTAGGGAAAGCAATGTGTTGTATTTTATACATTCGCCAGAGCAAGTTTATGGTAAAATGCTTCCAGTGCTCACTAACAGACATATAAGGCATATTGCATCTATTAAACCAAAGTATGTAGATGGGTATATGATAAGAATGCATATTGTTTATTGAGTATACCAAGTGCAACTTAGTGTGTACAAGGCATAAAGAGCCTTCAACAACACTGGAAGAACATTTGGTCTTTGGTTTTACTATCATTTACATGTTTCACACTAAAAAAATCACCAAACTAACACGTGAATTGGGGATGCAAAGTGAATCATTATCTGAACTGAGGACCCTAAAACTCTACACAGATATCAAAATACAAATGTTTCTTTTGCTTAGACCTTAAATAACTTTCATAAAATTAGAGACAAAATGGACCTTGGAGATCATATAATCCAGGAATTTCTTAACCTGAGGACAAAAAAGACCTGAAATGGAATTGAAAATTATTTGAGTATATGTGTGTATTGTCCTGAAAAGAAGGTTCACAGCTTTTGTCAGATGGTTATAGAGATTCATGACTCATAAAAGGTTAAGAAGCACTAGTCTGGCAGTTCTCAACTGGAAGTGATTTTGTTCCTCTCCTACAGACAGTTGGCAATGTCTGCAGACATTTTTGTTTGTCACAATGCGGGGGTATTATGGGCATCTAGTGGACGGAGGCCAGGGATGCTGCTAAACATCCTACAATGCACAGAAAATTCCCCTAAAACAAAGAATGATTTGTCCCAGAATATCATAATGACAAGATTAAGAAATCCTAGCCTATCCCAATATTTCACATTTCAGAAGACAAATCTAAGGTCAAAAGAAGTGAAACAACATGACCAAGATCACATAGGTACTTATTGGCAGAGCTGGAATGTGAGCCCTGGACTTTTGACATCTATTGTAGTGTTCCAACCAATCTGGAAGGAGCTAAACAAAATTTTGACAATTCAATAAGTATCGATAGAGCACCTTTTATTTGCTGAGTAAATATAGTAAAAATTAAATATGTATATATAAAAAACAGACCCTCAGCCCTCAATGAGCTTACCATTAGTAGAATAAGCAACTCATTCATGACACATTCAAATAACAGTATATAACATATAATAAAGTAAATGAAGAGAACTAAGCAAGTATTCATTTGTGGATAGAGAAGAAAGATCACATTTGAGAGCCATCTTGAAGGAAAATTCAGCAAGTCCTGCTGTTAAGGAGGACAATAGGTAATGAAGGTGATAAAAGAGTTAACAATGACTCTGAAACTCTAAGCCTTGATATGTGAATTGTTTGGTTAACTACTGTAAGCATTTGTTTAAAACATTTTTTCTTCACTATAACTTGACAATAATTAAAATTAAAAATTTTAATGACTATACCATTTACTTCAGCAATTACACTTCCACTAATTTTTCCTACATAAATATTTATATCAGTGTTAGTAGATAAATGAATAAAAATGGTTATTACACCATTGTTCATAATGGAGAAAACAGTAACAACTAAAATGCTTACCCATAAAGAATTGGTTAAAATAATTGTGTTAAATCCACACAATGGAATACTACTGAAAAGTGTCTGCTATATATTGTTAGGTGAAAAGCAAGTGGTAAAAACAGTATAAATAACTTGATCTCATTTTTATAAAACAAAAACATATATTAATATACATATAGGAAAAGATTCTGAAAGAATATACATAAAAGTATTAAAGGTGGTGATTTCTTGGGGGGGATTGTAGGAACATTTTCTGTAATGTTGAATTTTGAGGAGCAGGCATTAGTTTTATAAGGAGAAAAATAAATATTTATTTTCATTTGCTCTACTTTGGATGAATGCAGGTGAGCTTTTCTCCACTTGCATGCCACTCTTCTATAATTTAGTTCACAAATATATTCCTGAGTTGTAATCTAATAAAAGTCAAAATTCTATCAAGGAATGATTAAGAGATAACTCACCATTAAGACTCCAAAATGGGTGAGGTGGTCACAATGACAGATTGTGTAATTTATATTTGTTTCTTTTACTTTACAGCCTGATGAATTCCATCCACCTTGCCCATCTGCAGGGTACAGAAGGAAATTTCAAAGTAATTTTTGTTTTCTTCAGAAATATTTAACTTTTCATTATATGCACCTTCCAAACATGTCTTATAATTAGTATTGTTTGTTAAGAGAGTAAGATAGAGGTATAATGGAACAATGGAATTAAATTAAGTCTAGTAAAATAAATCAATTTTGGGGGGACTTCATAACTTCTTGGCTCTCATTTTTTTTCTGTTCTTGTACAGATTATGCCAGACTCTAATCATGAGCAACAGTCCTGCCACCATGCTGGAGCAACAGAGTAAGGACTGTTCTTTTTAAAGTAGCACAAACAGGAAACAGGTAGATCTTAAAACTTTTTGAAGAATATGAGCTATGGAATATAAGCTGATACTTGGACCTACACGGTGAGACTGGAATGAACATCTAAAATCACCAGTTAAACCCAGAATTCAAATGATCTCAAGTGCTTTGCATTCAAGCCAGATCATGGTCTGAAGATCCTTAGGGCCAATATAGCCTCTGGTGTACTTAACACTTGCGTAGTTTCTCACTCCTGAGCATATTCAGTGTCCTAGTGCCAACCTTCAAATCTCCATAACCTGTAGATCTTGGGTAATAGACCATATTTAGAGTGAAACCTCCAGGGTAGCACCAGATCAAACAGGTTATTCTAGGGCAGGCAGCTAAGTATGATTAATACTTTTCCATCCAGGATAATTCCATAGATTCCAGAGGTTCAGGATCCATGTACAGAGGGGTGGGGGCAAAGGGTGGCCTGGAGGAGCCCAGGAACTGGCCTTAGTGAACACACAGATCAACTTATTGAGGCTGTGGGGGACACAGCTCACCATTTGATAGGATTCTTATCCTGGGAGACTTGGAGGAAACCAGGAAAGGATAATGCTGTCTCTGTTGTAGGAAAAGAGTAGTATTCTCACATTACAGGGAGTTCAATGGGCAGAGACTTTCTCTTTTCTCTCAGAATTCCAAGAATACTGAGAAGGGACAAGCTCCCAGGTAGAGCATCCACAGGTAGAAGGACTGGTCACATGGCCACTCCTAGCATTCCAGGGGAAATTGATTCTGTGGAAATTCTCTGAAGTTTGGTAATATCCCTGAAGAATCTGATGGAGGTAGCGAGTTTAAGAAGGACCCATTCAGCATCCTATTACCATCTCCTTTTCTTACTGTCTCCAAAGACTCATACATAGCTAATCAAGAAGGGCCCTTAGAGACAAAGCAAAAAGTCTTATCCCCTCAATGAAAAGATAAAAAGATTGGAACCCCAAGATAGTGAATGGGCTGCTCAAGGACATACAGGTGGTCTGGAAGAGATGAGGAAAATAAAGGAAGAAACTAGTAGTAGATGTTGCAAATTTCCATGGGAAAACACAAAGAGTCAGGTATTCATTCCTGAACTTTTTTCAAGCAGCTTGAGGCTACTCTGCACTGGGTCTTCTAGCTTTCTTTCTTTGAACTTTTCTTACCTGAGTTGTGTGATTTTCTGATCTCCCAAATAAGTCTCTAATCAAAAAGAAAGAGTTTCTAGGGAAGAATCAATATGGCGGAGGAGTAAGTGGAAGTCACACTGACCTCCTCCCAGGACCAACCTGGAATTAAAACTAAATAGGGGAGAAATCTCCTGGAACAAACAACTGAACAATAGTGAGAGAGGAGCCTTGTAACCTTGGGGACAGAAGAATTGGCTTTAGTGCAACCTAACTGCTAAGGAGTGTGGTAGAGACTGGAGAAGGCAGGCGAGGCACCCACAGGTGGCAGCACAAGAAAGATACTGAATGGCCAGTTGGATCCCCCTGAGTATACCAGGGTATAAACCAAAAGCAGGGATCTCTCACCCACAGCACCAGAGCCCAAAAGGTACACAGAAAACAGCCAGCTGCAAAAACGGGCAGGGTTGCTCTCGGCGGCTGGATGCAAAGAACTGTTTCAAGAACCAATGCACAAATTTTTATTTGCAGCCACCTACCATAGTCTCTGGCAAAGGCGGGCAGAGTGGGCTAGAGACACCAGAGGAGACACAGGGGAAGGAGGCTTTGGGGAGAGAAAGAAGAGAGTAGCAGGCAGGATCTCAGTGCTAACTCATCACCCATGTGACAGCAGCCATCTTGGTCAGGCAGAGACCACTCCCCCTGAGTGGCACAGCATCAAAGGACTCAATAGCCCCACCCCCAGGTGGGATTCCAACCGGCCCTGTGCTGTCTAAGCTGCCTGCTGAGTGCAGAGTGGCAGCCACAGACAGTAGATCCCTGGCTGAAGGAATCACACAGAGGTCTGGCGACATTTGAGGAGAGACTGGAAACAGAAGATTTGGGGAGAAAATGGAGAGAGTAGCCAGTGGAATCCCAGTGCGGATTCCTCCCCCATATGGCAGCAACATGAGAGGACCTAATAACCCAAACCCCAGGAGGGACTCCACCCCGCCCTGAGCTGTCTATGGTGCCCTGCTGAGTGGAGGGTGACTAGATTAACAGCTGAAGGAGACAGCCACAACAGTAGATTACTGGAAGTCTCAAACGGACTGCCTAAGGTCAGACAGGGATGACATCTCACATCAACAGAGGCAGATCCAGAAAGAAAAAAACAGTGGTATCCAACCATAGAAGTTCACACCACAAAGTCAGGAAATCAAGACAGATCAACTTAAGAAGCAGAAGCAAAAGAGAAGAGTTTCACAAATAAGGGGAAGACAAAGAAATACGCCCCACTTGAAGGGTAAGGAGGAATCCCCAGAAAGAGAACTAAATGAAATAGAGGCAAGTAAACTCTGAGATATTGAGTTCCAAACAATGGTTCTAAGGAAGCTCAAGGAGCTCAGTGGGCTCAGAGAGAATTACCAAAAACTGCTGGGAAACTACAAGGAACTTACTGCAAACTATATCAGTGTGAAAAAGAACATAGAAACTATCAATAAGAGGCAAGAGGAAATGAAGAATACAATTTCTGAATTGAAGAACACAGTAAAAGGAATCCAAAGCAGGCTAGATGAAGCTGAGGACCGAATTAGAAAGCTGGAGGACAAGGTAGGAAAAAGCTCCCAGAAAGAGCAAGAAAATGAAAAAAAGACTCAAAAAGAATGAAGAGGCATTGAGGCAAATGCAGGACAACCTGAAACATAATAATATCCATATAATAGGGATACCAGAAGGAGAAGAGGAGGAGGAAGGGATAGAGAACCTATTTGAAAAGGTAACGATGGAAAACTTCCCTCATTGGAGGAGAGAAAAAGTTACACAGGTCCAGTAAGCACAGAGGATCACATTCAAGAGGAACCCAGTGAGGCCCACTCCAAGACACATCATCATTAAAATGGCAAATAGCAAAGACAAACAGAGAATCCTAAAGCAAGCAAGGGAGAAAGAGGTAGTAACATATAAGGGAGCCCCGATATGGCTAGCATCTGACTTCTCAACAGAGACACTGCAAGGCAGAAGGGAGTGGCAAGAAATAGTCCAAGTCATGAAAAGCAAAGGCCTGCAACCAAGACAGCTCTACCCAGCAAGGCTCTCCATTAAAATGGAAGGTGAGATAAGGAGTTTCCCAGACAAAGGAATGCCAAAAGAGTACACCTCCACCAAACCAGTACTGCAAAAATACGCTAAAGAGACTGCTTTAAGACGAAGAAAAAGTTTGTATGAATACCCAGTTCCTTTCAGAATTGCCAATACTTGATATTACCAATATTTTTAATGCTCATTAATCTGATTGTAACAATGATGTTATTTGTTCCTTTAGTATTTGTTGAAACTAAACCTGTTTTTGTATATTTCTTGCCTATTTATATTATTTTTTTAAAAAGCTTTGAATGACTTTTTGGTATTCTTTATCCATTTCTGATTAAAAGTTTGTAAAACTTTTTTCCCTAAAAATAAAACAGAACAAAACAAAACAAAACCCTATTAACCATGTTTTAGATGTGTTGCAAATACTTTTCTATTCTATTCTGTGTCTTTTAACTTTTTTTATATGTATATTACTATATAGTTAAATGTTTAATATAGTCATATTGTCAATATTTACTTTATAGCTTCTGGGGTTGAATATTTTACTTCAGGTCATGAAAAATATTAGTTCTATTTTCTTCTAAAACTCTTTAGATTCTACATATTGATTTTTAACTCATCTGAATATTTCTTGTATAATATGTGAAATAGGGTTCTATATTTTATTTCAAGTAGTAGTTGTCTATGCACCTTATTTGTTGAATAAGCCTTATTTTCCCCATTGATTTGAAATATCAACTTAATCATATATTACATTGTCAGATATAGACATTTGTCTCTAGAATGCTCATTATATTTCATTGATCTACTTGATTTTTTCTGTGCAGGTGTCATGTTGGTTTAATTTCTGAGATGTTATAATGGTTTAAATTTTTTAAATATTTTATAATTAACTTTGACATTTAAAAATATAAATAAAATCAATCTGCCTTTACAAAAGAAAGAGAGAGAGATGGAACTCCTACGTTTTGCAACAACATGGATGGAACTGGAGAATATTAAGCTAAGTAAAATAAGCCAGTTGATTAAAGACAGATACCATATGATCTCACTTATAAGTGGATTCTATTCAACAAAATAAACTAACAAACAAAATAAACCACAGGCACAGAGACATGGAGCAAACTGAAAGTGACCAGAGGGGAGGGGGAAAGAGGACAATGGCGGAAGGAAGGAGAAGGGACTAGACAAAGAACATGTATGAATGACCCATGGACATGGACAACTGGGTGGGAATTGACTGTGGGAAATGGGGGCAGGGAGGGATGGGTGGATGGGGCCAAGGGGTAAAAACTGAGACAACTGTAATAGAATAAACATGATTTATCAATTTTTTTAAAAATAAATAAAATAGTGAAAAAAAAAGAAAAAAGTGTTTTTAAAACTCCAATGTCCTAATTGGTTGTAAAACTCATATTTGTATATGGTCAATCAGAGTTCTCTGCTGGGTCTGATAAGACAGTAGCTTCAGTATGACTCCCTCCCTTCAGTTGCCAAACAGGAAAATGGTCAGTGGCAAAGTCTCATTGAAAGCCAAAGACAAAGTTTGCTAAGAGAAAATACTTACTGTTATTACCAAAGTCCCAAAAGGCACACTGAACTTGATCATAATTCTAGAAAAAAGAAAAATCAGAGGTAAACATCTTTCCTTGTGATAGTTACCACACAATGACAACTACACACAAGTGGTTTTTCTCAATGTTTTTTCAAACATAGGCACACACACCCAGACCATTTGTGAGTTGGTTTTAAGTCTAACCCCAGGTAACTTGGGACTTACAAGTAAGAAAACAGCATGCTATACTGCATGGTGATCTAATGTGTGTCCTTTAAAATATTTGATAACATGGGAATTTTCCACATCCTCTTGATGTGAGGCCCAGTAGGAGGCTGTAGATGGTTGGTTCAGATCTGATGAGCGGTAGGTGTTCCTTGTGGAACTTCTGAATTTGCGACTCACAAGTAACTTCAAGCCTTACAGATATAAGGTTGAACTGCCTCATTATTAGGCCTAATGAATACGCCTGAGGCCTCACCAGGTCCTATTATCTCCATGATGGGTAACAATGAGAAATTGTTTATTGGGGGATGCTTCGAGAGCTGTGTTCCCAACGGAATTGAGATCTTATCCATCTAACATGTTTCATTTAGTATCTGCTTTTTAAAAATTCCCTCTCCCATTCTTCCTTCTCTTCTAGAATTAAGAGTTGTGAAAAATGTGCTTTACCATTTCATCTTTTAGGTTGGGACTGAAGGAAGCTATTAAGAATTCACACTGGACATACATTAACATCAAAGAATATAATAGTAGTCCGTTCTTATACAATGACTAAATTTGATCATTTAGTAATACCTTGTGTTTTGCCATATGACTATGATTTTAAACTTTTGGTGATAATTAATACATATTCTAATGCTCTTCATAGAAATTCAAAGCATAAAAATGTTCAATTATTTTGAATTAAGTTGTTTGTCTCACTCAAAAATGAATGGAATTAAACACCATTTAGTGTGATGAGACAACCAAAAATCCACCTGCCTCTAGTCACTCCTCTGCCAACTTGTCACAGTGCTAGAAGTGCACCATTAGTTATCCTGTTAGGCTAAGGCATTATATCTAGAAGTCCCAGTTACAACATACATACCTCAGCTACTTTAAATGGAATAGTCTTCATTAAGTCTCACATCACATCTGTTAACTAGCCAATTATTTTTAACAGGAAAATCGTGGAAGGCTTCTGATGCTTTTTTATTCTGAGATGAAAATAGGTATGTTACCTGGTTTCCTTCAATATGCAGTAGAGTAATAACTACTGGGTCAGCCAAGTTTTGAATAGCTGTATCTGAAATGCTGGCGCTCACAACATATGTGGTTAATACTTTAGTGACATTTTTGGTCTATAAAATGAAACATAAGAAGAGTATTTAAGGCCCTAATTTTTTTAATGTTTTTCATGTTAATAATCAGTCTAGAATTTTGAAGTGCTATGCAGCATTAGGTACAGAAATATGGAAAATAAAATCACAAGGTAAGAAATAATTTAGAGGTTATTTACCTCATCTCCTGTCCTCACATAAGATCTCAATTATACCAAGCTACAACAATTTATTAATCCACACATAATCCAAATATCTATCTGACACACATTTGTTTTGTGCCTGCTATTTAGACCTGCACTAGCAACGGAACAAAACTATTATCTACTTTCATAACTCACTGGACCCGGACATGTTCCAACTTATCCCAGTTCTAACCTTCAACTATCCCTACTTACTTTTTGGAAGTCCCTCTTTATAAGGAAAATAAATCTTTCACGACAGTTATAAGCTACTTCCTGTTCCATCCTCATTGGAGACGGAAGCAGGTTGATCAACGTCTAGCTTGGAACAACTCTTTGAGGACACTCATCCCCTCACTAGGGGACCATGAACTCTGAGGCCAAAGCACAGACATTATGTGTCCTGTTGTCTCCCACATGGTCTAGCTCACAGTAAGTATTTTATATTGTACCCACAGTGAGTCAGTTACTTTGTTACATGCTTTCCATATACACTATCTTCAGTGCTCACTGAAAAAATATAGGCATTTTCCAGTTTAACTGAGACTTGGAGAGGCCCAAGAACTTGGACAAAATTCACGCAGCTAGTGAATGATATGGCAGAGATGCTCAACAAAGGTAGGTTTAAAGGAAACAAGCTAGAATGTAGCCCCCGAGATGCGAAGCTGGATGGTTAACAGGGCTAAAGTGCTACATGTCAAGGTTTTAGGAGGCAAGGCAACTGAAGACATCCTCTTCTGGGCACAAATGAAGAGGTGAAATATAGAGCAGGTGCAAGACAGGAGGGAGAGGAAACAAATCCTCTGAGGATTTGTCAAGAAAGCTTAGAAGAGATGAGCCCAGATGCTGTCTCTTTTTTTAAGTTATTTATTTACATTTATAAATCATGTTTATCATAGTTTCTATGTCCGTTTTCACGCTGATATAGTTTGCAGTAAGTTCCTTGTAGTTTCCCAGCAGTTTTTGGTAATTCTCTCTGAGCCCACTGAGCTCCTTGAGCTTCCTTAGAACCATTGTTTGGAACTCAATATCTCAGAGTTTACTTGCCTCTATTTCATTTAGTTCTCTTTCTGGGGATTCCTCCTTACCCTTCAAGTGGGGCGTATTTCTTTGTCTTCCCCTTATTTGTGAAACTCTTCTCTTTTGCTTCTGCTTCTTAAGTTGATCTGTCTTGATTTCCTGACTTTGTGGTGTGAACTTCTATGGTTGGATACCACTGTTTTTTCTTTCTGGATCTGCCTCTGTTGATGTGAGATGTTATCCCTGTCTGACCTTAGGCAGTCCGTTTGAGACTTCCAGTAATCTACTGTTGTGGCTGTCTCCTTCAGCTGTTTATCTAGTCACTCTGCACTCAGCAGGCTGCCTTAGACAGCTCAGGGTGGGGTGGAGTCCCTCCTGGGGGTGGGGTTATTGGGTCCTCTCATGCTGCTGCCATATGAAGAAGGAGCTTGCACTGGGATTCTGCCAGCTACTCTCTACATTCTCTCCCCAAAGCCTCTGTTTCCAGTCTCTCCTCAACTGTCGCCAGACCTCTGTGCACCCCCTTTAGCCAGGGATCTACTGTGTGTGGCTGCCACTCTGCACTCAGAAGGCAGCTTAGACAGCGCAGGGCGGGGTGGAATCCCACATTGGGGTAGGGCTATTGGGTCCTTTAACGCTGGTACTGCTCAAGGGGAGTGGTCTCTGCCTGACCAAGATGGCTGCTGTTGCATAGGGGATGAGTCAGAACCAAGATCCCACCGGCTACTCTCTCCGTTCTCTCCCCAAAGCCTTCTTCCCCAGTGTCTCCTTAGGCATCTCTAGCCCACTCTGCCTACCTTTGCCAGAGACCATGGTAAGTGGCTGCAAATAAAAATTTATGTGTTGGGGGCACTGGCACCAGAGGGACATTGAAACGGCCAGTTAGCGTCCCCCCGGGAAGAACGGGGTCTGAATCATAAACAGGAACCCCTAAACTACAGCCGCTAAAGCCGAGACAATACAGACAAAACACAACCCCAAAAAGCTTAGGGGCACTCTCTGCCAGAGACAGGTGGCTGGGGATGCAAAAAGACATTTAAAGGGCAAACGCAAAAGTTGCAGCGGCAGCCACCCTCCTTGATCTCTGGGTGGAGGCGGCAGCAGGGTGGGCTGGTGCCTGGGAAAAGACTGGTGAGGAAAACTTTGTGAACAGAACTGAGACGGAGGCTGGTGGAGCCCTGATAATAACTCACCCTCCACTCTGCAGCTACCATCTCGCTCAGGCATAAGGGAATCAATTAACCTGCCTTTTGTGCGCTCCGCACACAGCTTGTGCGCGTGTGACCTGCGGGGCTGAGTGCAGACTGTCTGGGAGAGCCTTGAGGAGAGACTGGAGACAGTGCCGTTGGGGAAAGAACGGGAGGAGGAACCGGGGAGTCCCGACTCCCTCCCCGTTCGGTAGTCTCCATTGTGGGCTGGAAAGGCGCGACCCCAAAGAGGCAGAAGCGGGGCGCGCATGAACCAGACTGCCTGCGATTGAAACGCAGTCCGCACAGGGGTTGGATCCTCAGCCGAAGGGGTCACAGAACTGCCCAGAGGCCCCTGAGGGGAGACTAGAAACGGAGGCATTGGGGAAAGAACGGGAGGAGGAACCGGGGAGTCCTGACTCCTTCTCCTTGCCGAAGTCTCCATTGCGCCGGGAAGAGGCCACACCCCCAAAGAGCCAAAAGCCGAAAAGCAAACATAGACACCCCCAAAACACCCAGAGCAGGCGCGCACACTTGCGCCGAGCGACTGGCGAGGATTGGCGAGCGTGTGTGTGACCCACGCGGGCTGGCGAACGCTTGCACCTGCCGGCAAGGCCTCACACAGACTGGCACCCATACGGCCTGCGAGGGATTGCACAGAGGGGCAAGGGCAGGCACAAATTGACCTACCCGCCGCGATTGCGGAGCAGCCCACAAAATAAGTAGAGCTGCCCAGAGTCCCTGGAGGAGAGACCAGAAACAGGATTAACCGGAGAGCTGACTTCCTCCCATTTCCGTAGTCCCCATTTGGCGAGGGCAAGCAACGCACCCAAAGAGCCAAAAGCGGGGAAAACACACAATAGAAGACTCTAAACTGACCAGTGCCGCGAAGCTCGGTGCCAGGGAGTTCAGATGAGCACGGGAGGTCGCGAATAAGCCCCCTGGTCTGGGGCAAACACATGCGAGCCCAGGCAGGTGGGGGACCCTGCCGCGCTGGGAACGCGCTCAAGGAGCTCTCGTGAGAGCGCATAGAGATCCCCAAAAATAGCCCAGACCTGACCGAAGGGGTCACAGAGCTGCTCCAAGCAGGAGTCAGACACAGGCATTAGACTCCTGAAAGGCTCAAACAAACAACCCAAGGCCCTATAGGGTCAACAACTGACATCATCAGAGGCAAGCCCAGAAAGAAAAGTAAAGGACAAAAATATTTAACAGACTCTCACAAAAATGGGAAGAAAAAGAAGTTCTCCCCAAATAAGTGGAAAAGGGGACTCCCCACAGAGAGAGCTCAATGAAATAGAGGCAAGGGAACTATCAGATATGGAATTTAAAACAATGGTTCTAAGGAAGCTCAATTAGCTCAGCCAGCTCAAAGAGAACTATGAGAAACTGCAGAGAAACTATCAGGATCTTACAGCAAACTATATCAGCCTGGAAAAGGACATAGAAACTATCAAGAAGACACAAGAGGATATGAAGAATACCATTTCTGAATTGAAGAACACAGTAGAAGGAATCCAAAGCAGGCTGGATGAAGCTGAGGATCGAATCAGTGAGATGGAGGATAAGGTAGAAAAAAGCTCCCAGAAAGAGCAAGAAATGGAAAAACGGCTCAAAAAGAATGAAGAAGCATTTAGGGAAATGCAGGACAACCTGAAACGCAATAAGATCCATATAATAGGGATACCAGAAGGAGAAGAAGAGGAGCAAGGAATAGAGAACCTCCTCGAAAAAGTAATGATGGAAAATTTCCCTAATTTGAGGAGAGAAAGGCTCTCATGGATCCAGGAGGCACAGAGGACCCCACTCAAGAAGGACCCAAGGAGGTCCACTCCAAGACACATCATCATTAAAATGGCAAATGTCAAAGACAAAGAGAGAATCCTGAAGGCAGCAAGGGAGAAGGAGAAAGTAACATACAAGGGGGCCCCGATACGCCTAGGAGCTGACTTCTCAACAGAAACACTCCAAGCCAGAAGGGAATGGCAACAAATATTCCAAGCCATGAAAAGCAAGGGCCTACAGCCAAGGCTGCTCTACCCAGCTAGGCTCTCCATTAAAATAGAAGGAGAAATACGCAGTTTCCCAGACAAAAGAAAGCTAAAAGAATACATCTCTACCAAACCAGCACTCCAAGATATGCTTAGGGGACTGGTTTAAGCAGATGAAGGAAAAGAATGAGACAGAGAGGAACACAAGTACAAAGAGAAAAGATGAGTAAGTTTCTATCAGTAATATCTCTCAATGTGAATGGACTAAATGCCCCAATCAAAAGACACAGGGTAGCTGAATGGATAAGAAAACATGACCCACACATATGCTGCCTACAAGAGACCCACCTCAGAGCAAAAGACCTACACAGATTGAAAGTAAAGGGATGGAAAATAATATTCCAAGCAAATGGACATGAGAAAAAGGCTGGCGTTGCGATACTTGTATCAGACAAAGTAGATTTCAAAGCAAAGGCCATAAAGAGAGGCCCAGAGGGGTACTTTATCATACTTAAAGGAAGAATCTATCAAGAAGACATAAACATTGTAAACTTATATGCTCCCAATATAGGAGCCCCCAAGTTTATAAGGAAATTGTTGAATGACTTCAAAAAAGATATAGATAGCAACACACTGATAGT